ATATGGTGTCTATTTGTACTTTTGGCTCTCACTGTTAATGTAAACCTCTATCCAACTTAGGTCTCCCTCCCTTTTATTACTCTAGTTATGCCTTTAGAATTTACATTTGTGTTTCAAGCCTATCAGTTGACTTACAAGTCTCACAGAGCTCACTGAATTATCTTGGCCAGAAAATATCTTACCACGATCCTCATGTTCCTGTTTCACCTGGGGCCTTTAGGCTAATTACATGTTAGTGGACATTTCAATGTTTTGTCATGAAACTTTAACATACAACACTATATATACATGAGTAAGTTAAAGACCATAATGTAGATCAAGAGCCATAGAAAGAAATTTGCCTTTTTTCTTTGTGGAGTAATTTCTAAAGTGGAAATTTACTCAATCATTTGGATCAATATTTTTCTTAATCATACTGGGTCAGAGGGCCAATGTCTCATGATGCTTAAAAATACACAACCATGAGAATTTTAGATTAGTATGACTGGCTAGAAGCTGACTTCATGTGATCTAAGAAAGGACAAAGTCAAAAAAGAAAAGAAACGAGAAAGTAGATGCTATTCCAAAGAGAGAGAGAAAGAACTTTGGAACAAAGAAGTAAGAGGATGTCAAAAAAGGAAATGGAGGAAGATGAGCAACACACCTATGAGAAGTTAACCAGAGCCATACATTTTACGAAGAAATAATGTCCAAAATATATACAGACCCCACTAAACTAAGCAATCCAATCAATAAGTGGGACAAAGAACACACAGTTCTCAGAAGATCAAGTACAAATAAATGGCCAATAAATGTTCTTCAACATCCTTAGATATTGGGAAAATACAGATTAAAACTTCATTCACATTCCATCCCTCCCCAGTCATAATGGCTATCATTGGGAAAACAAACCAAAATGCTGATGAAGAGGTGTATAAATTGTTCTAGGAACTATGGCAGCTCCTCAGAATGCTAGAAATGGAACTACCCTATGACCCAAGTATGTCACTTCTCAGTATATGCACTCCAAAGGCTATAGGACAAAGCTCCATAAAAATGCCTCTCCATTTTTATGTGTGTTCTGTTTGTTCACAATAGTTTCGTGTGCTGGTTAGTTGTCAACTTGACACAAGTCAGCGTCACCAGGGAAGGCAGAACCTTAGTTGAGGAATTACCTTCATCAGATTGGCCTGTGGGCATGCCTGTGAAGCTTTTTCTAGATTAGTGATTGAGGTGGGAGGGTCCAGACCACTGCAGGCAGGTCTTCCCTTGGCAGGTGATCCATGCTTATAAAAGAGAGCAAGCTGAGGAAGCTGTGGAGAGCAAACCAGGAAGCAGTATTTCTCCATAGTCTCTGCTACAGTTCCTGCCTCCTGCTTCTTGCCTTGAGTTCCTGCCTTGACTTTCCTCTATGATGAACTGTAATCTGTAAGCCAAAGGAAGTCTTTCCTCCTCCAAGCTGCTTTTGTTCAACATCTTATCACAGCAACAGAATCCAAACTAGGACACTAAGTTACAGAGTTGAGTCGTGGTGTCTGCCAAAAATTAAAAAAAAGAAACTTGTAAATAAACAGAGTGGGGTTTTATTTAGTTATAAATGAAAATAAAATTATGCAATTTAGTGGGAAATAGATGTAACTGGCCATCATGATATTAAACAAAAAGGACAGAGAAGGACAAAAGACAAATACGGTTTTGCTCTCATTTTCAAGTGATAGAGTTTTTTATATATGCATAAATCAATATACATGTGTATAAGCATCCATGTGGGTGCATGTGTGCAAGTATGTCTGTGTGAATGTGTGCGTATATATTCAAGTATGTCTGTATATGTGTGTGCATTTGTGTGTACATGCATATGTGTATGCATGTGTGTGCCTGCTTATGTATGCATGTGTGTGCCTGCTTATGTATGTGTGGTTGCATGTATGTGACCATGTATGTATCAGTGTGTCTATGTATA